CTATCTTCACTATCTAAACCACTAGAGAAACACATACATAAAATAATGTTTCAGCATTTAAATAACAATAGTCTAATAGTCGATAGCCAGTAAGGGTTCAGACCTAAACACTCTTGTCAAACTGCGCTGACAAAAATGACAGACAACTGGCACCTTAACATCAACAATGGCAAAATTTGTGGTGCCGTATTTGTTGACTATAAGAAAGCCTTTGACATGGTTGATCACAATATTTTTAATTAGTAAAACTAAAGACCTTAAAAACCAACGAAAATTTAGTGACATTAATAAAATCATTTTTGTCTGATAGGCAGCAGGTAGTCTCCCTCAGTAACCGTTATTCAAAACCCACACTGTTAAATATAGGCGTTCCTCAGGGTTCAACATTGGGTACACTACTGTTTGCTACTTATATTAATGACCTTCCGTTACATCTCAGTATAACATGTGATCTGTTTGCTGACGACTGTACAATATATACTAGTCATGACAATTGTAATGAATTAGAACGTTCTTTACAGAAAGAAATAGATAAACTCATAAAATGGAGCAATGATAATCGCATGCAAATATTAATAAAACTAAATCTATGGTGATAACAACTAGGCAAAAGCTACAAACATTAGCTGTACACAAGCCACCGCTTCAGCTCTTCATTGACAAGCTACCTATTGTTAATGTAGTTGAACACAAAACATTAGGTGTTTTAATTGACAGCCATCTAACTTGGAGTTCCCATGTTCATGCCATGACAAAAAAAGTAGCACAAAAAGTATATCAACTTGGAAAAATTCAGCCCTTTCTGGACGAAAATACACGTAAAATATTTTACGTATCCTACATTTAAACGCATATTGACTATTGTTCCACAATTTGGGATGGCTGCTCCAAATCTAATGTCAAACGGCTAAGTTCTCTACAAAATAGGGCCTTACGCCTAGTTTCCGATAGAAACTACGTTGAAAAAAAATATTTTATTCGGACATCCAAGACTTCTACCATTTAGTAAACGTTTAATTTTTAATAAGGCGAAATTCATTCACAAAATCCTATCTAAAGATACTCCAAATTACATTGACCGATTGATTCAATCTAATCCTAAGAATAGCAAGCGACTAAGTTTATTAGATTTGCCTAAACCCAGAATTGATTTATTTAAAACAAGTCTAGCATATTCTGCTGCTCATTTATGGAACCATCTTCCACCCGATCTGAAAACTACAAAAAGTCCTTACTCATTTAACCGCAAACTCTTTCATTTCATGATTATCAGTGATTACATGCCACCTTAAATGTAGTTAATAATCCACAATGCATTACTAGTTATAATTAATTGCAGTACGTATGATATGTTTCTATGCGTATATGTGTGACATGCTGGCGTGTGTAGGCATATGTGTATGTATGATTCTGTGTATGCATGGGTAACTGTAAACGTTTGTGTGTATGTATCTGTGTGTAGGCGTGTGACTGTTTGTCTGTATGGTGTCTGCGTGCGTGTCTGTGTGTGTCTGTCTGCGTGTCAGTGTGCGTGTCAGTCTGTGTTGTGTGTCTGTGTGTGTGTGTTTTTATGTCTATCTGTATGTGTGGCTGCGTGTGTGTCTGTGTGTGTGATTGTATGTGGATATGTGCGGGTGTGGCTTGGCTGCATGTTTGTCTGTGTGTGTATGTCTGTCTGTTTGTGTGTATCTATGCTGTGTCTGTAGGTGTTTCTGCGTGTGGCTGTGTGTTTCTCTGTGTGTTGTTTCGTGTGTATTTGTATGTTCAAATTTTTGATAATGTGTGTGTGTGTGTGTGTGCGTCTGCATGTGTGTGTCTGTGCGAGTATTTGTGCGTCTGTGGGTGTGTTAGTATGTGTTTGTGTCCGTCTCTGTGTGTCAGTGTGTGTGTGCCATTATGTGTCTGTAGGTGTGTATGGCTGCATGTGTATATGTGTCTGTCTGTGGCTGCGCGTGGCTTTGTGTGTATCTGTGTGAGTCTCTATCGGTGTGTCTATTATATTATGTCTGCGTGTCTCTGCTTTTGTCGGGTTATGCCTCTGTGTGCGTATGTCTGACTGTGCGTGTCTGTGTGTGTATATCTTTGTATGTGTGGGTGTTGCGTATGTCAATGTGTGTGTCTGTTTCCCTGCCTGCGTGTGTGTATGTGTCCCCGTATGTGTGCCCGTGACTGCATGTGTGTGTGTCTGGATTGTATGCGTGTGTGTGTTTTAGAGCGTGTGTATGAGTGTATGTATGTATGTATGTATGTATGGGATATGTATGTATGTATGTATGTATGTTATGTATGTATGTATGTATGTATGTATGTATGTATGTATGTATGTATGTATGTATGTATGTATGTATGTATGTATGTATGTATGTATGTATGTATGTATGTATGTATGTATGTATGTATGTATGTATGTATGTATGTATGTATGTATGTATGTTTATGTATGTATGTATGTATGTATGTATGTATTGTATGTATGTATTGTATGTGTGTGTGTATGTATGTATGTTATGTAGTTGTGTGTATGTGTGTATGTATGTGTGTATGTGTGTATGTGTGTGTGTGAATGTGTTCTCCTATATATCCTGTGCCCATCTTTGTGCGTGTCGGTCTCTGCTGCCTCTTTCATGACACCGTACATCTGCTACCTTTTCATTTGATATTGCCAGAATATTTGGGTTTCCGAGGCAAGATGCTGTTTACCAGCGAATGTTTCTTGAGCCTCACGGTATACACACGCGCGTGCGTGCGCGCGCACACACACACACACACACACACAATGAATCACTGTGAATCTATATTTTTCTTAGACCCGAGATTGTCCTTATGACATTACACAGCATTTTGAACTGGCTGCAAGCTTACATGTCTGCTTACAGTGTTATTGATTTGGTCAGGCTTTTGCAAGGTGCCAGATACAAGTGAGCAACCTATGTGGCTGTGTTTTTTTTTTTAACAAGAATTATGAAAACATTGAAATTTACATTCTTCATCGTTTTCTACATTTTCCTCGTTCACATTTAGAAAAGCAGTTATTCTGAAACTGCAATATTTGCTCCTTTCGGCACAGACTATCAAATGTTAAAACACGTTTCAATAACCCCTGTCTACGCCATACCCAGGAGCTGCTGCTCCAATTGTTAAGAACACAGGGCTTTCATGCGGGACACCTAGGATCGATAACGTTGGGGATTTTTAATTTTATTTTTTGCGGATATAAACATTAAATCCTAACCTTCAAACTTCACAGCGACAACACCTAGCCATGGGGTCCTAAATCCTCATCCTCAAACCGTCCTCTACCTACACCACAAAAGCGGTTGTTGTTGTTGAAATATCCAGAAACCATGAGTTGTTAACCCTCTTGGCTCGGTACTATGGATATCGCAACCCTTCGGCCTTGATTCCATGATAGGTACCGTAAATCTGGGAGAAAATTTGGCTTTTCTGCCTACCCCCAGGAGTGAACCCGAACCACAAGGAGCTCGTCACCCGGTCACCGCGCAGTTTGGTTTAGCCAACTACGCTAGCTGTAATGTCAGTTTTTACAATTCACTTTTTTTTAAGTGGCAGTGAATCAATACTCTCCCTCCCTTTTACCGTCAGCAGTAAACCCACATGTTCTTCATATATTTGTAAAATTCAGCTGCAAAACATGACACTGAAACCCGGCAGTTGCCCAAACTGAAAAGGTATGGGAGCGGTCGGTGTGATACTGATCACATAACTCGCTGAGTTTCGATTGGTCTATCAACATAAAGGTCTAGCTGCTTATGTCCAATCATCAACTGGGCCGAAAAGTTATGAGTTATTTCCCTCCCGACATAACGTATTGACGAATCCATTATCTTAGTCTCAAAAAAGAAGACCTACACAAAGGGGGCATGCATAACAGGAGCCTACCGATCCCCGGTAAGTGGGCCCCATTCAACAATTGTTTCCCTCTTCAACGGTTGTTTCCCCATTTTACAACTGTTTCCCCCTTCAACAATTGTTTCGGCCGGTTTATCCCCTAATTAGATGACGAAGCATTCGGTTAACTTAACGGTTAGTTCGACTTTAGTCTCCCCAAAAGAGTAGGTCCCTTTTCATTCACACGTTTGTTGGGCTGGTCGACTTTCTTGAAGGCTACGGGTGTTTCCCACGCTGTTGCTTGTTTTCTGCAATGTCTTGCATTTACGTTTTCTTTCCAAGAAAGAGAATTCCTGTGACATAAGCTCTAGGGGAGGGGTGCTGTGTTAGACCCAGTTTCTGCATGTTTTTGGAGTGTTAAAAGTGCTGAAATATACCTCACGCGATATCTACTGCATTGCGGAACAACCAAGTAACCGTGTGCAAAGATCACGGGCTCTGGAACTACCAATCAGAAGAGAGCTAGCGTGTATTTGGGCGGAGTCTGTGGAGACTAATGTCGAACTAACCAGCTAAACAGAATCCTAGTTACTCCCGCCGTTTACCCGCGCTTGGTTGAATTTCTTCAATCAGAAAGAGTACACAGATCTGGCTGACCAGCTGAGTGACTACGTGGTCAAGCTCTTGGACCGAGTGTGGACACAAAGGGAGCTCAGTGCCGTGCTGGACAAAACAGGCTCTCCCCAAGAAGATAAATTTGAAAGTCTCAACAGGTTCAAGATGGCGGTGGACTACGAGGAAAAGTTGGTAAGTCTAACTGTATGCTCTGCCTGTCAATTCCCCCCTCCCTTTTTTTATTGGTTTCGTAACATTGCTTGTAGTTCGGTCCTGTTCATGTTTCCAGGCCCAGAATTAGATTAACTTCCCTGTCGTTCAGGACTCATTAGGTCGCTGGACCTCTCCTATGTTGCAGGGGTGTTATAGTATGGCTTGTTTTGGCGTTTGCTATGTAATATTTATGGGAGGTTGTGTGCCTATTTGAGGCCATGCGCGATAGCTTTACCTCGAAAGAAAAAAAAAAACAGTTACAAGGAGCGTAGGAATATAAAAATATCGCTGTTTCCATACTCCCGAACCGTCGATCAGAAAGCAGAACGTGAAAATAATCACGCAAGCATGCTGTAAAAAAAAAAAAAAAGAGGCAACGGTTAAACCGTTCTCAATCAGGAAAACATGTCTCCCCCCGCAACTTAAGGGAAGTCCAGCGACACGAGGAGGCATGAATAGCAGATGAAGTTACTCCAAACCTTGACCTAGAAATGTGTTCTGTACCTGTAGTTCTTAGAGATGTTCTGAAAAACGGATGATTTTTCTGCCATGGACGACGGCTGACGAAATGTACTCTCGAAATGTGACAATTACGCAATTTTCTATTAGGTAACTGTTGATGTGTTATAAAACTATGAGTAGTACAATATGTTTTGTGAGTTACTGTTCCATCTGTTATAATTCTCTGTGTTATTATTCTTTGTGTTACCACTGTGTTTGTCACAGTTCTATGTGATCCCATTTTCTGTGTTATAATTCTCTTTCTCTTATACTTCTTTGTATTACAATTTAGTATGTTACAGTTCTGTGTGCTATTACTTTGTTACAGTGACTATTTCGTGTGTTGCAATTATTTGTATTACAACTGCATGTGTTACAATCATGTGCGTGCAGTTTTATGTACACACAGTTCACATCCACACCCATCGCCACTTTATTTAGTGTGTGTGAATGTGTGTATTGTATTGTATTGTGTGTATATATATATATATATATATATATATATATATATATATATATATATATATATGTGTGTGTGTATTATATATATATATATATATATATATATATATATATATATATATTGTGTGTGTGTGTGTGTGTGAGAGAGATTGCTTACCAATTAAATTAACACAAGATCTGGACTTCCGGTCTAAAATGAAGCACTGGGCATGGCAAAATGTTATGCTTCCAAGTTATTTTTTCTTCTGAAAGCGCTTTGCTAATGCAGTTTCCACATGGGGACGTTAGTCTACGGTTTCGCTGCCTGGGCTACTGTGTATAGTGCTTGATGTAGCCCTGTGTGCTGTGTTTTTGTTTCATTAGCGCAGCGGTTGAGGCGTAGTATGCAATATGGCTGGTTACCGGTTTACATATAAGCTGGTGAAATACCTTATGTAGTAATTCCACGTGTGTATAGCCAACTTATTGTGCCTGACTACTTCCGTCAACGACAAACTGTAGTTCTGACGGCCACTATGGGTTTCGGCGCCCTCTTAAACTACCATATGCATTTACTGCTTGCGCATATTTCTAGATTGTGCCCGGACTAACTGTTTACCAGTTGTTTTTTATTTAATTTTCACTGGCACAGAAACGGGGCAAGTTTGGGGGAAACCCGATTACAGTGAAGTTGAACCCTTGACTAAGACAAAGACAAAGTCTAAGATTAACACTTGATCTAGCTTTTTCTTTTTTTTCTATTCCAGTTTGTGTCGCACCCGAACTGCCAACAGCGCATCGACAGATGCTGGTACGAAGGTCTCAGTAAGGTTGGCAGAGCGGACTGGGCAAGGCGGCTGGGTCTTCTTTTCCTTTCTATTTTGTCGTTCCCATTCTTGGTCATGTGTTTTCTCTTTGCACCAAAAACAACCGTAAGTGGCTTGTGTTTGTTCGTGTTCACACTAACATCAGCAGTAAGACTGAATGTGTTTTTATGTTGTTTTAATGTTTACGGTAGGTGTTGAATTCGTAAGTAAGCAAGGTATGTGAATATTGAGACAAACACTAAAGAAGAACATATGGTTTAATGAAAATGATGAATTTGATTGACAATTTCTTTCTTTGTGTGTGTGTGTGTGTGCGTGTGGAGATTTTAGCAGTCACTGCTATTTTATTCCGTTACTCTACATTTTAAAAAAGTATAAACAGCTTATCAAAATTGTTTCTGCCACCGTCTCCCTCTTTCGAAATGCTCTCTCTCACTCTAACTCTTCTCTCTCTCATTCTCTCACTGTCCCTCTTCTCCCTCTCGCAACACAGTCTTCTCTCTCTCTCACTGTTACTTGTCTCTCTCTCTCTCTGTCACTCCTCTCTCTTTCTCTCTCACAACTCATACTCTTCTCTTTCTCTCTGTCACTCTTCTCTCTCTCTCTCTCACTGTCGCTCTGCTCCCTCTTTCTCTCTCTTAAACTCACTCTCTTCTCCCTCTCACTCTTTTCTCTCTCCTGGCTCTTCTCTCTATTTCTCTCACTGTCACTCTCCCCTATCTCTTTGTCGCTCTCACTCATACTTGTTTTCTCTTTCTCTCACTCTCACACTCACTCTTCTTTTTTTTCTCACTCGCACACTCTTACTCTTCTATGTCTCTCACACTCCCACTCTTCTCTCTCCTTCTCTCACTATCACTCTTCCCACTTTGTCTCTCTCTCTCTCTCTCTCACTGTCAGACGTCTCTCTTTTTCTTTCTTTTTCTCTCTCTCATTGTCACTCCTCTCTCTCTCTGTCTCTTTCACCGTCACTCATCTCTCTCCTTTTCTCTCTCTCACACATTCACATTCTTCTCTCTTACTATCACTCTTTTGTCTTAGACACAAAATGGCGCGATGCCTTTCTCTCGTTAATTTGTAATCTGGTTTATTTGCGCCACTTTCGTCGCTAGGTCTAGCCCTATGCGCCCATTACACTGCAAGGCCTGGAAAATGGTCCCTCATTTAAGTAAATTCATTCATCACTTTTTTTTTTAACGTGGCCATTATATGTCACACAAGACTAGCAGTCAATTCCTCGAATCTATTGTATCCTATGCAATCACTTTGAAATTACAGAGGGAATCACTTCTAGCGCCGTTGCCTTCCCTTATCAACGAGCATTAAATCATTGACCCTTGTCATCATCATTATCATCATCATCATCATCATAATTATCAACATCATCAACATCAGCATCAACCTGTATCGAAACCTTTACATAACGTTTCTCACATCTTATGCCACCTTGAGACACAAGAAGTCACATCAGGCCTAAATAATTCCACTTTCTCCCCTTGACAAAACTCTAGGAACACTCTCCTCTTTGTTACCGTTGTGTAAGTTCATCACTTCTTCGAGAAAAGCCACCTGCCGAAACGTTGTTTTGTGCACTTTTTTTTCTGCTTCCCAGTTTCGTTAGGCTTTTTAGTCACATTTCACTGAAATTCCTTAGTATTATTTTGACTGCAATCACCCTATATTTTAATTTGCCAACAGTACTTAGAACAGTTTTTGGGTTTGGACAATAACTGTGCTTTTTCTTCTGGTACAGTATGCTCAAAGCTTAGCCGTGCCGGCAGTGAAGTTCGTCACCCACACGGGATCCTTCCTCATCTTCCTGATTCTGGTCATCGCCACCAGTGTGGAGTCCATCTCCAACAAAAACACGCTGGAGAACAACTACCCCTGACCTGCAGCTGCGCTGGCACGATTTTTGTGAGGAGCATCCAGATCTGTGCGTCTGGGGCGACAATTTTCCTCTCAGGCCTAATGATGCCACCGTAACGGAAGTCATGGTGTCTGTGTGGATTATGGGTAAGTAGTCAATTCATCGGAAGCCGTCGTGGTGTAGCGGGTAGACGCCGGATTTTATTGTTCCCAAAAGGACCTTGGTTGCTAGGTCGGCCCAGCTTTAAATGGGTACTAGGTACAGTTCTAGGAAGTAAAGACGACCAGCGTAATGTTGACGGCATCACCTATCGAGTATCGACTGGTCGATAAAATATAGGTCTAGCCCTATATGCCTAATACACAACACGGCCTAGAAAATGGTTCATTATCTCAGTAAATTTAATAATTCCTTCATTATCTTTTTTATTAAATGACAGATCTGTCACATAGGACGTACAGAAGACAACTTATCGCAGACATCAGCGCAGACAGCAGGAGACAGTTACAATTTTGCCTGCTCTATTATGAGAGGCGGGAGACTGGAACATGTTGTGACCACTAGAAAGATCTGTGTTGAAAAAAAAAAAGATAGAAGAAGGCAACATGATAAGATTCTTAATGTTCTTTTGGTAAGGAAGAGTGTCAGCTCATGAGCTGATTATTCATTTTGGAGATCACATGCTGTAATGGGGTGTAATCGCCCCCGCCAGTCGGCAACGCAATTGATTATAATGTATAGTGATTACCGATAAAATCAATAAGTAAAGCTGTAGAACTGATTATAGTAAAAATGTTTTTATTTTGATTTTGTCCAGGAATGGTAGTCCAAGAATGCCTAGAAATATGGCAGTTTGGAATCCAAGCGCATATCAAAGATATGTTCAACGTCCTCGACCTGATGTTATTGTCAGTCTACATTGCCACGTATACCATCCGGTACTGGACCATATTCAAGGTGCGGGGAATTTAATTTTTTTTTCTTTTTGGAACTTGTTAAGTACCAGATCGTTATGCTGCAGAAAATATAGAAGAGACAATCATGACCCACCCTCTCTCCCCCAACAAAAACACAACTGATATATATGTGTGTGTGTGTGTGTGTGTGTGTGTGTGTGTGTGTGTGTGAGCATTATATATAGAATAAATGTTGCCAGATTTATTTAGTAATCGCTGGCTAAAAAATGATGTGCACTTACTGGTTAATATACAGAGACATAAGTAGCAAATAGCACTAGGTGCGTTCTTTTGGGACATAACACCATAACGGTTTCAATGAATGTTTTCCCCTCCTAAATTTGAGCAAAGAAGAAAAGAGAACAGATATCAAGACACAAAATGACCATAATCACAACACTGTGCTGGCTTTGTGGGTGGACCACTAAAGAGAACAAGCGCTTAGCTTGACTAATCAATTAAGAAAAGAATACAGATTACACAATTTGGCTAAGCCAGGCAGATATTTAATCTCTTTGGTTAAGACCATTTGTTTAATAAAATGATGGAAACTTCCTTTCCGAACGCTTTATTTTTCGTTTCTCTCCCTCTCACATCCTTTTCGTTGTCTCGTTCTCTCATTCTGTTCCGTTAAAAAAAAAAAAACACACACACACACAGCCACGTTCAGTCTGCAGTTAGCTAGTCGAAGCTGTCAACTGTCTGGTTATATTTGTGGTCTGGTTTATTTGAAAACAGTTTCCGAAACTGTGAAAATATTTCGCCTGCGACCATAGTGGTCTTATGAATGTTTTCCTCTAATAAGAGCAGGTTGTGCATGTTATAGTGATGTATGTGAAATGTTTGATGACGTATAGTCGTTATTTGTCCGACAAATAACCAGTCCGTTGTGGGTGTTAGGATTGGGGAGTGGAGTCCGGTGTCTGCAAGTAACGGAATATCCAACATCAAACTCAAGTGCTCTCTGTAAGGGTAAGAAGGAGGATTCTGGATTGTTGTAAAGGGAATTTTCATACTCTCTCTCTCTCTCTCTGTCTGTCTCTCTCTCTCTCTCTCTCTGTCTCTATCTCTCTCTCTCTGTCTCTCTATCTCTCTCTCTCTCTCGATATATATATATATATATGTGTGTGCGTGTTGTGTGTGTGTGTTTAATTTATTTTAAATACATATTTTGCAGCTTTGTCATCTTCTCAGTTGTGCCAGGGCGGCTCAATTTACGAAACAAAGTACAAGAAGTCTTCAGAAAATGTTCTGAATGGTCAAAAGTGAAGCGATATACAGTGAATGGCTGTCGTATCTAGAGTAATTCTTTGCAATCAAAACATACTGTTATCAACAAAATTTTATCAATGGAGGCAGTCAGAATTACCATTCAAGAAAAAAATAACAAACACGTTGCAGAAGATATTTGCCAATATGAAAAGACGTGTGCAGTCCTGTCTTGTAGCTCACAGTGTACATTTCTAAGACCTCTTATAATGAATATTTTAGTGGTACTTTCCAGCCTGAAAAGACAACATTAGACCATAGCAGCAATTATTTTAACGAATTTAATTACTTTATAGCAAATTTTTGAAGAGGTCATATACTTGGGGTTTTAAAAATTTTTTGCACACCAAGTATAGTCATATTTTAAAAACACCCTGAATAATATTTCAGCTGTCTTGTATCAGATACAGTTGTTATATTAACCCCGTGTCTCTGAATTATTAGTTTAACTTCACCAGTAGCATATTCCTTACCAAGCCCTCATTTGGACACCACAGAGGAAAAGATCTCGTGGAAGACCAAGGGAAACTCTACGTAGAACTATCATCAGGGAAGGCTCGCTCATGGGCCACTCAAACTTCCAAGACCTACAACAGATTGCAACGAACCGCCATGCATGGAGAGTCATGACCTCCGCCCTATGTGCCACACTCGACACAAGAGGAAAGACTAACTAACTAACTAAGTAGCATATCTTTGTTGAGCTTCCCTAGGCCTAAGTATTTACTGCTGTTAAGCCTTACCCATTAGAACAAAGGGAGCTAAATCAAAAGCTTCTGGGGACACAGTGAGTTTAGAAATGACCTAACCCTATCGTACTTTAAATGATTGTTATGTTTACTGCATTTCTATTATTTTTTTATTTTTTTTTTTATTTAGTACGATGAAAGCCTGTCCATGCTACGGAATACCACAAATCTGTCACAAAACCCGAACTTGACAGTGAAATGCATCTACTGGCTAAACGCAGGTGATTTCTTTGTAAAGTGCATTCAGTGGTATAACATTTATTGGTATGTGTGAATCACTGGTTAAACGCAAGTAATTTCTTTGAAAAGTACATGTTTTAGCATTTCTTGGTATGCGTGAAAAAATGAATGAATGAATGATTCAATCAAGAAATGACTACCACTGAGCTTGTGGTATTCACATGCGTGCCCTACTATTTCATTTTTTTTTTCATATGAATATAATACAGCTTGATATATAACATACATCTGTCGTATGACAGATAAATGATTAAAAGTATCGAATGTAAGAAGGCCTACCTGCGCAATTTGTAACCTTTAGGGGGAAAAGGGGGAGGGGGGTGGGGGAGTTCGTTCATTTATCATTTCAGTGGCCAGTAGCTGAGTGTTCCCAAAAAAAAAATAATGTGGGTTTGAGTACTAATGCACGCTTTTTAATGTATAACTGGAAGCTGATTAAAGTAGAGCTAATGAGGGTCAAAATTACAGATATAAAAATCAGAAAGTATAAGTGAGCATTACAGAATCAACTACAAAACACAAAGGATGTTACAGTGATTAGCCTTCATCAGCAGTGCGAAGATGAGACAGAAAACACAACAGCGCTATAAACTGACTGATTAAAAAAAGATGCATTACTGTATACAATGTAGGGCTATTCTACTGGCGGCCCGCGGGCCAAATCTGGATCACCGAGGCGTAACAAGTCGCCCGCCGATCGTTGCCAAAATAGGAAAATGTAGTTATTAAAAATAAAAATAAAAACAAATCAGTCAATGTGTCTATATATTCTTCAAAAACCAGTCGTGTCGAATGTGTCAATAGGAAGTGTTTGTCAGGAATCTGTAAATGCGAAGATACAAGGGAACCGGCATAAAGTAATTAGATCAGGGTAAAAGTTCGTTCCCAGTTCGTTCAAATAGCAAACCCATCTATATATACTATACATGTATTGCCCAAAAAAAAAAAAAAAAAACGATTTATTCATTTATCCATTTAATTTCTTTTAAATATCCAGAAACCATGAGAAACCCTTTAGCTCGGTAATGTGGATATCGCAACCTACGGTCTTAATTCCTTGATAGATACCATAAATCTGGGGAAAATGTGGCTTTTTGCCTACCCCCCGGGCGTGAACCCGGACGACAGTGAGTTTCTCACCCGGTCGCTGCGAAGTCAGTTTTAACCAACTATGCTAGCGAGCCGGGGAATAAACGATAGAATGATATAAAGTATGAAGTTAAGGTAGACGTGTGCCGCATTCAATAGCAAAGGATAGGCTGTCTTGGTTTGGCTGGGTTGACGTCCTATGCTCTCTTGCGAGATAAAGTGCAGTAGAAGTTTGAATTTTAAAGTTCGAAGTTTGAACAACCGATCAACATCATAATACACGGGTAGTAACCCGTAAGTACTCCGTTCTTCTTCTAACTCAGGTATGAATCCGAAGAAGCTCCGCACAGTGCACAGGCTTTGTAGCACTGGCGGGGGTCCTAAAATACCGTTGGTAGATTTTTAACTCCAAATTTTGCCCGAGCAGCGCCGTTTGGCTACTTTTTTCGATTCCCAACTGCCAAGGGATTTTTTACGCGCACAACAATCCACACGGGCGTCCGATCTCACTACTAAAGGATCAGGGGGAATTACTAGAAGTCCAAGTCCACCTGAAAAAATCACAGCCGTTACCGGAGATTGAACCCGGAACTTCTAGCACTCGAGGCGGACACCATGCCTCGAAACCATGCAGCACCAAGTAAAGTAAATACAAGAAGATGAAGCAACGCTATTAAAAAAAACATTATGTGTGGTTTACCACATTTTGTGAAGGATAGGAAAGCTATCATTTATAGTAAGGGCATTTCATTCATTAAGACTAATTGTATTCTTTGCGTTTTCAGATCGCATGTTCTGGGATCTTCATGATCCAATCAACACAGCTGAAGGACTCTTTGCCATGGCCAATATTCTCAGCTTCTCGCGCATTGTCTATCTGCTTCCTGCCAATGAAACGCTGGGTCCTTTGCAGATCTCACTGGGGCGTATGGTCAAAGTAAGTACACTGTTTAGAATGTCCAGTTTACATAATTACATGCTGGCGGGTTCAAGATTTCTCTCCTGGAATTAGTTCATGTCATCATCGCTGTTAATTAGTTGAGGACATTCCACGACGGACTGGGAAAAAATGGTATCAGGAAGGAGGGGCAGAGGCCGACCAACACAAAGATGGGTACAGGATATAAATGACTCCTTGAATATGAAAGTACACGAGGCCTGAGAGCTGGCGAGAGGACGAGTTTCTTTCAGGCAGACCGTGATGAGAGCGACGTTCTGCAAAGGGTCTGCTACAGAATGATAACATTCCTACGTCACGGAAAACGGTCCACCACATGCTTGCTCCGATTTTGTGCCAGCGAAGACCACAAAGAATGACCATCGCTGCCCTGAATGGGGAAACTTGAACATAATTCACTGCCGGCAAACCAAACAGCAGATACACCCACTAAATACACAGTGCAGCTGTCAGAAGTGCCAATACAAACAGCCCGCTAAAAGAACTGCAGTTCGTCTTCAACGGTAGCGGTAGTTACAACACAAACCGCAATTGTCCACACAACGCTGCGTTTTGCACAGCCAGTTTTGTGACAATAAGTCAGTCTGTTGTTTTTGCACCTGCAGTTCCCAATACACATCAGAGTGGGCATAGTCGAAAAGCATTCCTAGTGAAATTCCCAGCTCACAGTGCGGCACCATCCGTTTAGCTCAGAACTACTTTGAATCCTCATATGGATGGAAATCTAACAACAGACCTTTCCAGGTGCAGATAACATGGTTCTCACTTTTTCTCTTTTCTCTCTCTCTCTCTCTCTCTCTCTCTCTCTCTCTCTCTCTCTCTCTCTCTCTCTCTCTTTCATACACTCCCTCACTCTGCATCTCTCTGTCTCTGTCTATATGTATGTTTATTTACTGGAGTAAACGACGCTCCGTATGTAAATGGTAAGTTTTTTGCCCTGCGCTCTGCAAATGGTAAATTCCTGTCACGCCTGCTTTGTTCTGTTCACTTGCAATTGTTATTTAGATTTAAGAAACATTAGGATTGTCAGAGGAGCTACGAAGTTCGTGCTTTGTGCTACCTTCTTTTGAGGCAGGTAGCTATTTCGCAGAGACAGACCAAAGGAGTCATATGAGATCAAACCCAGTGCAATGAAGTCAGTTACTTCATTTAACTTGTGGGGGGTGAAGTGAGGGAGTGGGTGGTTGTGTATCAATGTGCCACGCAATAAAATGTACTGTGTTCCTCACAAGAACCTGTTAATTAACATTCACCTTGTTCTTGTCTGGCAGGACATCCTACGCTTCTTTGGCCTGGCCGTGATGGTGATTGCAGCCTTCATGGTGGCACTGACCAACCTGTTTTGGTACTACGCTACAAGGGACACCATCGAGCTGCACAAACAGTACATTGAGACACCTTCAGCTGTGGAACACTATGGCGGGTAAGTTGCCCTGTATGCTACACATTCAGCTGTAGAACACTATGGCGGGTAAGTTGCCCTGTATGCTACACATTCAGCTGTGGAACACTATGGCGGGTGAGTTGCCCTGTATGCTACACATTCAGCTATGGAACACTATGGCGGGTAAGTTGCCCTGTATGCTACACCTTCAGCTGTGGAACACTATGGCGGGTAAGTTGCCCTGTATGCTACATCTTCAGCTGTACAATACTATGGCGGGTAAGTTGCCCTGTATGCTACAACTTCAGATGTAGAACACTATGGCGGGTAGGTTGCCCTGTAGGCTACACCTTCGGCTGTGCAACACTATTGCGGGTAAGTTGCCCTGTATGCTTTAAGTGGCTCAGAAGCGCCGACACAAAGCGGCCATTGGAAGAGAGGAGAGGATCGGCCCTTTTACTTATGTAATGGGAGGAGTAAATGACGAAAATCTTTTTTAAGTGCACAATGATAATTACATCCGTGGTGTGGCGGCTAGACGCTCATCTGTGGGAGGTCTTGAATTCAAATCCGAGCGGATAAAAAAGTTAAGGAGTAAATGACTCTTTTCAAAGCCTTCAGGTGTTTTGGACATATAGGGCTAGACCTATATTTTATAGACCAATAGACACTTGGTGGGTGACGTGGTCAGCATCACGCCGGCCGCCTTTACTTTTTAGGACTGCACCTGGTACCCACTCAAGGCTGGGTCGACCTGGAAGTCAAGATCTTCTGGAAAAAAATGTCAGCTTCATCAGGATCCAAACACACGACCTTCCGATACACAGGCGAGTGTCTAGACGCTACACCACAACGACTTCTCTGGCTCCCGTATTCATGTCCATATCCACGTCCATTTAGGAGGAGAAGACAAATGTAAAAGTCGACCACGTTCAACTTGCTGCTGGCAGTGATCAGCGCGTTGTTGACCACATCCACCTTATCGACCATCCAGTGGGCAATCCCATGAGCATGCTTAAGAAGGTAGAGACAGGATAGACTCGGGAAAAAAAATGATTGGAATCGTTGAGGAAATCTTCTCTGAAAAGAATTAGATTTATCTTTATGCCAGGACACTCTGGGGTAAGAGGCGATGTTCATTGAGCGGATTGGCTTGCTGGCAGGGCTACGACAGGTACAGGAAAAGCAATAGACGGGGCCAACATTCACAATGTTTTTAAGGAGGCAGGACCAGAAAATGAGTCGTGAGACGATGAAGAATCGGCAACACACAAAAGACTACAAGAGCTTCAGATCGAAAGAGCTATTGCCAAACATGAACACTGTGCAGGTAGCCAAAGAAGAATAGTACATGAGTACAGAGCTGGTGTTATTAGTCGTAACATGATGCCGGACATACCGAAGATGGAATCCGAGCATTTATGGACTTGTCTGATGTTCAATGAAGATAGTCTTTAACCTTCTAAACTAACTAACTAACTAACTAACTAACTAACTAACTAACTAACTAACTAACTAACTAACTAACTAACTAACTAACTAACTAACTAACTAACTAACTAACTAACTAACTAACTAACTAACTAACTAACTAACTAACTAACTAACTAACTAACCCTCCGAGTAGCGATTGGTTTATAACAAAAAATGTCTAGCACTATGTTCCCAATATGCCTGAAAGCTGGGGAAAGGGTCCTTATAACAAAAAACTAATAATACTACTTCCCAATATGCCTGAAAGCGGGATAAAGGGTCCTTTAATAATAATTATAATAATCGGCTTAATAATAATTATTAATAAAAGTCGGCGTCTGTTGCTTAAGCGTCGAAAAGGCGCTTCGTAGATCCGGGATATATGGGCTCGATCCCAGCTGCGGGAAATCTGGTAGCAAACCGCCTTGTGCTAGTTTCGACAGTGGTATTAAGAGCCCAACGTAAAACTGCCTAATGAAATCACAGACCCCCAAAAAAATAATGTGGTTGCTTCGACAGTGTCCTCTGGAGCGTAGGCAGCTATTGTTATTAGGGCTCTACCGAGTATTCGCTTCGTATTCGCTTCGTATTCGCTTCGTATTCGCTTCGTATTCGCTTCGTATTCGCTTCGTATTCGCTTCGTATTCGCTTCGTATTCGCTTCGTATTCGCTTCGTATTCGCTTCGTATTCGCTTCGGGGCCGAATAGTGGACCTATTGACTATTCGGTATTCGGCCAAATAGTTGTGGTCGGGCCGAATACAAATAGTAGTTATCTTACACCCGCTTCTGCATGCACAGCTTAATGCTGACAACATGGAACGACTGGTTTTGTTGAAAGCTAGTGCAGATTTCATGCATTAACTAAGCTGTCAGTGACAATTTCAAAGTTTAGTAACTTGTTATAATACTTAGGATTCTTTCAATCCTACTTATTAGTTACAACAGACCGACTGAAGGATGCAGATTATAAAATGTTTTTAAATGTTTACTATTCTGTACGAATACTATCTAGACATGGAAAGAATATAAACTCCGGCCACATACAAGTCGATAATATGAACATTAAACGAACGGAAACATATAAGTACTTGGGTGCAAACTTCAACTGTGCCAACATGCTGAGAGCAGAAATACAATCTAAAATACAATCTAGAAATAAAGTGTACTATGCCCTTAAACATCTGCTAAAGTCAAAGTGTCTGTCTCGCAACACTAAGATCAAAATATATAAAATGTTGACAAGACCAGTCGTTTTATTTGGCTCTAAAACTTGAAGCAGAAATAAAAGAGATGAGACCTTATTACAGGTTTCCGAAAACAGTTCTACGACAAATATTTGGACCCATCAAAGATGCTAGCAGCGGGGAATGGAGAGTCAAAAGCAACAACGTAACAACGTGTTTAAATCACCATTGATAACTGGCATCATGTGAGCTAACACACTAAAATGGTTGGGGCATATTGAAAGAATGTCAGGTGATAGAGAAGTAAAAACTGTATACACTTGAGAGAGGAATGGGCGTAGACCACGAGGCAAACAAAAAATGAGTTAGAGAGATAATGTCCGGCCAGATCTGCAAACAACTAAAAAAAAAGTAAAAGTAAAAATCCCTTTTCACGCCTTAAGGCGTATCGGGCATATTGGAAAATCGCTCATATTTTTACAGACCATCATCACTCGGTGGGTAATGTGGTCAGCATTACGCCGGCTGTCTTTACTTTCCCAGGACAGCCCATCCTGGTACCCATTTTAGGCCGGGTCGACCTGCGACTTCCCATACCATGATAAAAATCCACGCAGCCAGCCGTGGGTTTCGATCGCGGTACGCTGGATTACTCTGACGCCGCATTACAAACAACTGGTGTCACAAATTGTGAAGATAAAGCCAGCCAGACAGATTAAAGGAGACGAATGATATCTGCAGCAGTAAACCTCAAGGGCTCAGAATGTTGAAGAAGAAGATGACTATTCTGTGCTACTTTATGTGAAGTAAAAGTTCAGCGTACATTTGACATTATAAATGTGTGTTTTTTAGATATATTTTATACACTAAACACTATTCGTATTCGGTCGAATAGTCGGTCCCGCTATTCGTATTTGGCCGAATAGTGAAAATCACTATTCGGTACAGCCCTAGTTTCCAGGACTATACCTGTTCAGCTACCTTGTGTGAAGATGTTTAGGGAGGCAATCTAAATAGCTCAAGGTTGGGTCAATATGGGAGCCAGGGTCAATTTTTTAAAGAAAAAAAAAGCTGACTCCATAAGGACCCGAACCCACGACCTTCCGATTCGCAGGCCAGCATCTAGCCGCTACACCCTAGTAGCTCTCTGCTACAACCTAGTGGCACCCCGCTACACCCTAGTGGCTATCCGCTACACCCTAGTGGCTCCCCGCTACACCCTTGTGGCTTCCCGCTACAACCTAGTGGCTCCCCGCTACAACCTAATGGTTTCCCGCTACAACCTAGCGGCTCCCTGGTACAACCTAGCGGCTCCCCGCTACAACCTAGTGGCTCCCCGCTACAACCTAGTGGCTCCCCGCTACAACCTAGTGGCTCCCCGCTACAACCTAGTGGCTCCCCGCTACACCCTAGTGGCTCCCCGCTACACCCTAGTGGCTCCCCGCTACACCCTAGTGGCTCCCCGCTACAACTTAGTGGCTCCCCGCTACAACCCTAGTGGCTCCCCGCTACACCCTAGTGGCTCCCCGCTACACCCTAGTGGCTCCCCGCTACACCCTAGTGGCTCCCCGCTACAACTTAGTGGCTCCCCGCTACAACTTAGTGGCTCCCCGCTACAACCTAACGGCTCCCCGCTACACCTTAGTGGCTCCCCGCTACGCCCTAGTGGCTCCCCGCTACACCCTAGTGGATCCCCGCTGCACACTTGTGGCTCCCCGCTACAACCTAACGGCTACTAGCTACAACCTAGTGGCTCCCCGCTACAACCTAGTGGCTCCCCGCTTCACCCTAGTGGCTCCCCGCTTCACCCTAGTGGCTCCCCGCTACAACCTAGTGGCTCCCCGCTACAACCTAGTGGCTCCCCGCTACAACTTAGTGGCTCCCCGCTACAACCTAACTGCTCCCCGCTACACCTTAGTGGCTCCCCGCTACACCCTAGTGGCTCCCCGCTACACCCTAGTGGATCCCCGCTACACTCTTGTGGCTCCCCGCTACAACCTAACGGCTACTAGCTACAACCTAGTGGCTCCCCGCTACAACCAAGTGGCTCCCCGCTTCACCCTAGTGGCTCCCCGCTTACCCTAGTGGCTCCCCGCTACAACCTAGTTGCTCCCCGCTACAACCTAGTGGCTCCCCGCTACAACCTAGCGGCTCCCCGCTACACCTTAGTGGGTCCCCGCTACAACCTAGTGGCTCCCCGCTACACCTTAGTGGGTCCTCGCTACAACCTAGTGGCTTCCCACTACAACCTAGTGGCTCCCCGCTACAACCTAGTGGGTCCCCGCTACAACCTAGTGGCTCCCCCCTACACCCTAGTGGATCCCCGCTACAACCTAGTGGTTTCCCGCAACAACCTAGTGATTTCCCGCTACAACCTAGT